ACATCTCAGGGAAAGCATCATATGGGCCTTGTTTTACTATCCATCTTCAAGATGCTGTTTATTAATGAGAATTTGTGTGATTATGATATTTTAACAGATCCTGAGTTTCTCATCATAAAGAGATTTTTTGAAACATATTTTTGAAAGAAACTGAAACTTTTGTAGTTTAATTCCCCACCCTAGGGACAAAGCAATTTGTTCGTAATTCGTTAATGCATTTATTCAATAAATTATTTATTCAACAAATATTATATGTGGGATACAGTACTGGAAGCTGGGGTTAGAGGAGGGAGCTTACTTCAAAGTGCTATAGAGTGTGCCCAAGCGGCGGTAGCATGTAGTCCTGGATACTGATATTTATTGAATATTAGTCATGTGACAAATCCCATGACTTCTGAGTTCAGTTTTCTCATCTTTGAAAATGGAGAATTATAGCTATGTCACTAAATGGATGATTAACTTAAATATGTGTGTGTGCATGCCCACACACACATGCACACAAGCAGCCCTCACTTTGCACAGCACCAAGTTAACTAAGACGTGTGTGTATCTGCACTATGTCCCCATTTTGCATGGTCCCGATATACGTGAGTTTTAGTACACATGGCACCCTGCAAGATGAGGGATGACTGTGTGTGTGTGTGTGTGTGTGTAAAACAGTCTGGAAAATTGCCTGAGATGTAATTCTCAAAAGTAGTACCTATATCATTAAACCAGGAAATGTTTTTACCACCTACTGTGACTCTTTATCATTCTCCAGCCTCTCATTTTGAGCTTTTTCAATGATAGTGAAATCAGTATTTTACTAAGAAGACTGTGTTCTAGTTACCTATGTTAAGTGTACAGTAATATGTACCTGTTTAATCCTGGTACTGTTCTCAGCAGCTATATGATTGATATTGTACATTAAAAGGAAGCATCACTCCGGTGCTCAGAACTTTCCCAGCAGATTCCATTTCATAGCTGGCTGTGGCATCACTGGCAGATTGGAGCCTCTCTAACACAAAGTCTCCATTCCATTCCCCAACCTGTGTGTTCTAGGTGGCTGAGTTACAAAATTCACTAGCCCAGTTGCCGGGAAAGCCTCATGGAAAGGGAAGCTTTGCAAGGACAGAGGCACATGAGTCAGAAGGCTCACAGTAAACATTCCCCTCACATTGGAGGATACTAGGTATCTGAGGAATCTGAGATGCTAAATCGATCAGATAAAGTCCCTGGGCTCTCAGATTGTGTGGATTAGCATCTTGATTCCAACATGTGCTAACTTTTTGTGTACTGGCGATTTATGTAATCTCTCTCTTATTTTTCCCATTTGCAAAAGGGGATAATAATAGCTATTTTATCAATTTCATTATAAAGTTAAAACAAGATAATTGTAATAGTAGGTATGTAATATGTTTTATCCACAATTATTAGTAGCACTAATGGTAGTTTTATTGTTGAGGGGACTCATGACATTTCCATTTCTTGGTCGACATAGTTTCCCAGATTCTCCTTCGGGGATCAGTGAAGTCACTTTCTTCAAGGTCATTCCCCTTCCTGGGACAGCTCACATTCAATGACTGGTAAATATAGGAGTATAGCCTTGCCACCTTGGTCTGATTTGAGGCAAAGCAAAGGTCCATTCTTGATCCAGGACCCCCATGGAGTTGACTGAGTTTATTTATGGGACTGTATTGCAGCTCAGCCTATGTTCCTGCTTTCTTCCTCTCCTATCCTCTTCCTTTCTTCCTGTCCCATTCCCTCTCCCATACAGCAGGAGTTGATTCCAAGTACACTTCTTAATAAGGATACTACACACCAAGCCCCACCTCCGAGTCACCTTTAATAGCGTATACCACCTGAGACAAGATTGTGGGACAAATAAATCCCTTCACTCAGATATTGCACTTCAAGGCCTAAGATCTGTGAACGTTAAAGCTTACCTTATATCAGTCTTTGACATGTTCTAGGGTATTTTGAAGTTCATAGTAGCTCAGTAGTTCTCCTAGGAACTGGTCAGCTTCCAGGCACTTTGACAGTGCTCAGGTGGACCAATCATACTTCTAGGAAGGGGATAGATAGTACCAAAGGAAGGCCTTAAGCATCTGGCCAGAAATACTCTCTGTGGCCCTGTGTCTGGTATAAGTGTGAAACTGGCAGCCTGGCCAGTAACAAGTACCTTCCCTTCTGGTGATCAGTCATTTGACCTTGGTCTCTGAGTCACAGAGGTTTGGAGCTATGGTAGAAAACAGAGCTTGGAAGAGTTCTGTAAGGTTTTAAGAGTGAAACTCCAGACATTTTTCCTGTGAAGAGTGTGTATTTGTCCATTGGTAACAGAACTGGTAACAGATTGAGTTGGTTTTGTACAGAGAGACAGATTTCAGAATTTCTAAGGACTCTTTCTCTTCTTTTAAAAGAAATTTAATTGTTTTACTCTTGCAGCTTCAGGCTCCTAATCTATTTTATTATAATTGCTCTTATGCTGCCTACAGTTTTTATTAGCCTTGCATCTACATATTCTTTTATGTAATATTAATATCTTTAAGTTCAAGAACTTAAATTCACTTAAACAACAAATTACTCTCTTATTGGTTGACAATTAAAAAAAAACTTCAAAGGATGAATGAATTTTAAGGAAAAACAAACTAAGCAATCCATATTGCAGTCAAAGTGACCATTCTAAAACACACACCTTGCTTAACATCCTTCACTAATTTTCTTGCTGTGCCTTAAAGATCCTACATAATCTGGTACAACTCATCTCCTCAACACACACACACATACACACACACGCACGCACACACACACGCATACTTTTTCAGTTAGTTTCAGACAAAAGTCAAATATAGCACTCTTGAAATATGATATTTTTTCTCCAATCTATAGAGGCATTTTTAATTTGGTTCTCTTTTGATTAAATATTTTAAAAATTGGTAAAACCACTATATCTGTTGTCATGTTAGAAGAGACAACTAATTTTATTTAAAATATCAAAATGTATCATTGTATAAATTGGCTTTAGACATAGGTACATTCATAGGGGAAGTGATATATTAAAATTATTGCTTTCCCTGTCACATTTCTTTTTCCTTCTTTAGAGTTATTTTTTTTTACTTTAGGAGAGCATAATTTTAATGGGTTGCTATACCAAGAAAAGCAAGAGTAGTAGAGGAGGCACATAGAGTCGTTTCTTTATATTGTCCCTGTAGACCCTGTGGTATAATGAGGGCTTCTGTAATGAAGGAGGGATATTAGAGACATTTTGGAACCTCCACTGTACCTCTCTGCAAAGCTATACATCTCTTTTGAATATGGAGGAAAACCTAAGTCCAGTCCAACGCCTCCCTCAAATAAGGGTTTCCAAGGTGTAATTCTAAAGCAGAAAGAACTTTTTTTGAGTTATTTCCAAATCTGGTTGTGGATAATGTATGATACAACTGTGAAGAGTTTAAGCACTCTTTATCCAAGTAACAGAAAGAAGATTTTTCCAAATATTTTTTGCCCACTAACTTTTAAGGAATAATTTTTAAAAAAAAGAATGACAAAAGAAAAAAAAAAGGAATTATTCTAGCCAAATGGAGAATCTGATCACATTTTGCAAACTTCAAACTTTAATTATATCTAGTTAATTTTCAAAGTTGAATCTGCTCATTCTTGAAGGTAATATTAAAAACAAATAGATAGTTTTTAAAAAGAGGAATCGAAGACTGTCTAGTTTTCCCCTTTTTGATTACTTTGATATTTTACTTCAAGGTTATAAAGTATGAAGTGAATTGAACTGGAAATCTGTGCTCTTATATCATTTACTAACTACATCAAATAATAGCAGGCTTGTTTTTATAATATCCAATTTGTAATGAGTATTTTACATTTTATTACATGTAACATAAGTTTTCTGATATTCTAAAAATAAAACCTACTTTTTAAAAAATTTGATAATTTATAGGGTAGAGAAGAGTTCTTGAAAAGACAAACTCGAGGTGAAGTGGCTAATGGAATGTTGATTCAGGTAATCCTAATTTGCTTTTAATATTTTATTCTTCCTTTAATTTGCATCTTACTTAGCATTTTAAATTTGTCTGTAATGAAGCATCTTTTTTCCTACCTGGTTTGCAAGCCAGCAGTTTTCTTTCCTTAGCTGACGGCAGTTGCCCTCCATGTATGACTCGCAGTGTCTAATCATGCATAAAGAAACTGACCTCTCATACACATATCTCATTTTGTGGCTTAATGGGAATTTCTGCCAGCCTAGTAAAAGGGCAGTGGGATCTTATTCCTAAGTGTCTCTTAGTTTGCTTGCTGATGATATGTTTTTTTACTTTTAGTGTCTTTCAATTGAATATCTTTATTTAACACTGAAAAAAAATATGCTGATTGTTCTGTATATAAAAAAATTGAAACTAAAGCATTATAGCTAGTAAAATAAATTTTAATTTTTTTATCTTTATCTATACCACCTGCAAATCCTTTGGAAACCAGGTTGGGTATTTTGATCCCTAGCATCTTTCTAGAATGCCTCCCCTTCAAAAATACATAAATATTTGAAATTATTATTATAAGAAAATGTATTTGGAGGCAAAACAATCCAAAACAGTGTTATTATTAAATATTATTTGAGATTATCTGCACCTCTGGTCCTCTTTGAAACAAACAGAAGTTCTGCAAATGCCAGATTTCCTAATTGATTTATATATATATATATTCAATAATTCTGTACTCTTTGAGACCTTTGTTTAATATTTTGTTATTAATTTCTTGGTCATTGGTTTTATTTGGTCTTAGATTTCAAGATTTACATATATTTCAATATTTGTTGTTAGTGTGTTCTCTAACCTTATCTTCCACTACTTAAGAATGTTTGATTTTTATTGTCTATTAATTTTTTCTCTTATCATTTTTATAAATAATAACTATGCAGTCTTTAAATACGCAGTATTCATACCTATTGCTTTTTATGGTGACATTTATTTTTTTGATTTTCAAATAACAGCAAATATTACTGCCTGGCACAAGATACTCAATAAATGACTAGGTAATTAATAGCCAAATGAATTTTTTTAAATCTTTATTGGCAGAAAAGACTGTATAGTGTTCAAGAAGAACTGACACTTGAGAAGCAAGACCTTTTGAAAAAGAAAGCAATATATTCCCAAATACTGGCAGAAATAGAGGCACCTTTGCTTCAAATGGAAGAAGATGCAGAAAGAATGAAAACCGTCCACGAAGAACATTCTGACGTACGCATTTATAATTAATCCAGAAACTATTTTGCAGGAATATTTAGGTTGATAACTCATATATATAATTTTACTTTACTACTTGGAAAATTGTAATTTCACATAGGAAGACATAAAATTATGGATGGAATAAGTAACTATTTCATTGACCACACAAATAATTTACAGTGGAATTAGACAGCAAGACTATCAATGCTATTACCTGGAACCCTATACTCTATCTTGTAGTGTACTTAGCAAAAGTGGTTTTCAAATGGATGAGTAGTGATTTATTTGGTATGATTGCCCACTATGATAAATTTTATTCGAAGTCTTCACTGCTCGTTAATAAAACGCTGAAGTTATAGTTACTCAAATATAAAATATAATGCATCTTGACATTTTCAATGTAAAGTTTTGATTCATGTAGAAAACAGCTAGGATAAAAAATAAAGCAAATGTCGATAAAATATTTTCAGAAAAACAAGTTCATGGCAGTAACTGATATTACTAGCCCTTCCCAAAGATAAATTTAGTAGAAAAATATGTATACATCATGTCATTAGTCTTTTGGAGAAGTAGAGGGTGTGGTAAGAGTTATATATTCTTGTCTTTAGCTGCAGGGAGTACATACATATTATTCATTTGGGTCATTTTGACAACAGGATGTTTTTTTTTTTCATTGCAAATTATGATGTAACTTTATATTCTTAGTCTTTAATAATTTTCAAAGTTTCTTTATTTAAAAACATGTGATTTTAAAGTGTTCCTATTATGAAAGTTTATTTTGATCTTCAGAGCTTCCCTATGAAATAGGCAAGAGAAAGTTTATCTGTACCATAGACTTGAGAAAACTTGAGACTTAATGGATGAAGCAATGTGTACAAGGCCATAAAGCATGGAAACAACAAATTATGAGTATATTACTCTACTTAAGTCTTCTAACTGCTTATCCTCGAGCTTATGTAATGAATATATAACCAGTACTAATACCTAGTGAGATAAATGATTTTAATAATGGCTCCTCCTTACATTAATGATGGAAATTTATTAATTGCATCAAAAGCCTCAGTATAATCATCTAAGTATGATAATGAATTCCAGAAAAGATTAATGACTTTATTTCCCCTTATTGTATAATAGCCGTTGTTTTATATCTTCTTGTAGTTCAGTAATCATTTTTGATTTTATTATATTTAACAGTTTATAAACTGTAAGAACTATTAATTTAGCATAAATTCTTGGAAAAATAAGTTTTTATGCACTTTCTGTAATCATTACTGACAATTTGTATTTAGAATTTTAATTTTGGTTAAAATATTTTAAATATTGTGATGTAAATTTATAATTCCTATGTAAGTTTATTAGTGTTTGTTACTTAGCTAAAATATATAAGATTTTGGTTTTGTCAGGTAATTAAAATTGAATATTTGGATTGTAGGTATCATAGTGTGTTTTTGTAATTCATGTGTGTTGGTCCTTTCCCTTTATAACAAAATATATATTATTATTATTAAAATAGTCACTTGGGAACTATTTGGTCTAAACCAAGATAATTAGACTGCAAATGCTACACATCTTAATTTCTAAATGTCTTCTAGGTACTATCTCATATAATCAAGAAGAGAAAGTACGTTCAAAAAAAAGTGAAAAAAACAAAGAAAAATTTGCGAAGAAAAGGGAGGGAAACCCAAGAAGCACTAATAGAAGCTAAGGTTAGAAATTTAATACGGAAACGATTTTTGAATTTACACCCTGTTTATGTCAATGAAAACTATTCAAACAATTTTAATTTTAGATATATGCCTCTGGTTTCTAATTGATTACACTAAATTGATTCTGCATGTGCTCATGTGCATGCGCATGTGTGCATACACACAGTCTCTGTGTGTCCATTGTCTCTCTCTTACACTGTCTTCCCTATTGATTAGTGTATCCCCCATTACCTCTCCTACAAAGCAGAGGTAGAGATTTGTAGTGTACTACATAGGACCATGTTTCTACAAATGAGACCAATCTGTAGACTGAAACATTTGTTAATATCTGACATCTAAATTTTACCCTCAAGTTGGTATGTAAGCAGCATGAACAAATGGCTATACATCAAAATGCTTCAGGGTTTTTTCCAAATTAGAAACATTTACTCCCTGAAAACCCTTACATCTAATATTCTATCTTTAGAGAATCATTGGAATTGTGGAAGTGGAGATAGTTCATTGTCTTTAACTTGCTATATAAAATATGTCTAGATATATTTTAGAAGTAGCTCCATAGGATTTGTGGGTAGACAGCATGTGGGCTATGAGATAGAGACATGATTATATTATTTTTAAAAGGTTTTCCCTGTGGTGGGCCACAGAATAAACATAAATATTACTGAGGAAAATAACAATATTTATAATAACAATAACAGATTATTAATATGTTACATGTTTTCTATATGCAGGCATTGTTCTAAGTGCTCAAACATTAACTTATTTCATCTTCGTGATGACTCTGTGAAGAGTATGTTATTCTTATCTCCATTCTATAGTTGGAGCATCTGAGGCCTTGTTTTTTAATTAGCTTGTTCAGTTTCACTTAGCTCATCAGTGTGGAGTTTAGATTCTGGCACTGGCACTGGCATCCATGATCTGACCATTACATTAGACTGGTTAAAGCTTACTTAACCAATAAAGGTTACTGGTTAACACGAAGGTTAACATGAAGTAAAATCAGAACTCAGTAACATAAAATATAGCCAAAAGAAAATAATTACGTGGACTACCGGAAATATTTTTTAAATCACAATTTTATTATTAATTTGCTTCTGTGTTAGGAATATAGAAATACAAATTACCATTTATTTATAAATGACTGAAGATAATTATACAGCAACATTTATGAAATAAGCCAAGATAATACTTTGTCGTTACCAATACGTTATTGTGGTAAGAAAAACTGAAAATATTTTGCATATGTACTAAGAGCAAAGGAGAGAAAACAGAAATTAACAGCCATAGGAAAAATTTAAAAAGACACAATTATATACAGAAGTGAAGGAAAGAATGCTGTTTTGCATAGCAAGTTTGTTTTAAAAATCTAGAGTAAGTATAAAATTTATTTATAAAAAAGTGAAAACTGGGTGAAGTGAAAAACAACCCACAATAATAGAGCAGTTATTATAGAATAAATTTAATTTGTCCAAACTCTACCACTGAATGCAAGAACAAACTCAGATATTTTACTGGCTTTCCTGCAAAAGGCCAGATATATAGCATAAGAAAAAATGTAAAGCTTTTAAATTCATTCTATAATAATATAACCTTGAAACCATAAATGAAAAACATTAGCATAAAAAAGAAATCTTAGGTGATCTCACATCTGAATATAGATGACAAATTCTTAAATATATCAGTGAATTGAATGTTACAATGTGCTAAAAAGAATATACTATGCAAAATAAGATTCTTTCGAAGAGTGTGAAGATGATTCAGTAGAAACAATTGTATTAACATATTTCACATTTGCAGAAATGATAGACAATTAACCTAAAATAATTGATAAAACTCTATAGCCACTAATGATTTTTAAAATGACTCTTAACTGTCCAGAAATAGAATGAAAACATCCTTACCTTGATAATGTGTTATAGTGTGTCTACCAGTGTTTTCCATCAAATATCATGCTTAATGATGAAACATGAAAGGCATTTCCATTAAAATAAGGAACAAAACATTCATAACCCCTCTTACTGCTTAGCACACTACTGTTATAGAAAATTACTTGTAACATGTCACAATAAAACATATGTATTCAACACTACAATAGAAAGCCACCACAGGATTTTGGTCCATATCTGAATATTTCAAAAATATTAACCAAAAATTGCCCGAAGTGACATATCTAACAAATATAAACAAATTCCAAGAAAAAGATGGCTGAATACTGTTTTTGTGTGTGTATATGTGTGTGTACTCAATATTATAGAAGGTACTAGGAGTTGGAAGTTTAGAGAAGAAGGGCTTATTTTATTAGTCCTTCAAATTAATTTGTCTCTCCAATTACTACTGAGCACTTTAAGTGTATTAAATATTGTTGCAAGTTGTTGGAGGTTGGGAAGTGAAAGGGGAACTTGGTTAACTCAAGAAGCACATCATGTTGTTGGGGATCAGACAAGGAAACAGCATTAATATATTGTGAGCAGAGCCATGACAGCAGTATAATGAGGTACGAGAAAGTTGTGGAGGAGAAAATCCAAATGAACTGAGAGAACCAGGGAAGGTCTGTCAGAAAAGATGATGTCTAAAAATGAGAATTACTAGTGGAGTAAATGGATGTTGGATACTTGCCTCGCCATAATATTAAAGAGAATAGAGATAATATACACAAAAAGCTTAAAAAAATAATTTGGCACTGGAGCTATTTAACAAGTGGTTTCCAATATTATAATTATTATTATATAATTTTTAACTTGAAAAAAAGAGATTAAGGGCATTTTAAAAACAGACACTGTGTTTACAAAGCAAAGAGATCATGAGAGAATGCTATATGTTTGTGGAATGGCAAGTAGAAGGTATAGGCAGAGAGCAGGGAGCCTATTCTAAGAGTGAAAAGAGATGAAGCTCGTGAGACTGGGCAGTTCCCAAATGAAGAAACATCTTGTGAGCCATGCTAATGAACCACATTCCAAAGAAACTTGCAATCTGTTGTAATATCAAACATGACTAGTAGCGTTTGTTAAGTACTTATTATGCTGATTGGTGTACAAACAGTAATGTTGACATCATTTCTATCTCCTAAGAACTTAAGTTCTAAGACAAATAATTTTATTTTTTACTGTGTGTAAGTATCTCCATCATGGGCCAAACTAACCAGTACTACAGAACTTTTACTGTTTTTAACCTCAATTTAAGTCTTAGGTGTAGAATTTGAACCTATTACATTTAGAAAACATAAAAATATATTTATTAAATCTTAATAAAAATTAAAAGTATAATCTCATTAATAATTTAGAATCCGAATATAATTTTTATTAACTAATATTTTTAAAATGTGTGGTTTGAAAGTTTTTGACATAAGGAAATAATGAAAAATTTTACGTATAGTAAAACATTAATTAACTATAATTCAGATTTCCAAACCCTTTCACATCTGGACATGAAAGTACCTTTGGGTGGAAAGCCTCCAAATTGCTGAAACCTTTGTTACCCAGGCTAGAGAAAAAATAAGCCAAAGAATGGTGAAATTATAAACGTACTGTTTCATGCCTCTATTCCCATCCTCTCTGGTGACACTTCAGCATTCATCAAAAGACTTACAAATGGCTCTTGGAATCTCCAAGCTTTTGCTCACTTGAGATATGTAGATATGTACTCCTGACATATGGCATCTAACAGTTTCTTCTCTCCAGATGCAGCTCACTATGGGAATGTCTCTGATATTTTTGATGCCATGGAAGGGGATACACTGCTCACATTTAGCAAAGCCTCACTTGGGGTACCTATTAAAGGCATCAAAATACAACTTTTATTTTTCACTGCTATCTGCAGGAAGCACACTATCTCTTTCTTTCCTTTAGTATAGAATCCTCTGGCACCACTTCCAGCACTGCTGAATTGGCTAGTGGGGTCTAAGTTGTTGAAACCATTGCTTCTGAAGTCTTCTCAGTTTCCTGTGAAAATCTTTATTCAAGATTAAGGCATGAATTATGGAATCTTACCTGAAAGTCAAGTTTAGCAATAGATAGCATGCTGTACTGAGAGCTGCCCATTCTCTCTGACCCCTACCTATTTAATCAAACAGACTTGTGCCTCTCCACACTTTTTAAAAATTTTTTAATTTTAAAAACTCTTAGTTTCAAGTATACAGTACATTGGTTAGACATTTATACAGTTTATTAATCAATCTCCCTGATTGCTCTTTCTTCTGGCTCTCTACCTAGCCATTACATTAATGCCGACTGCATTCTCTATGCCATGCTCCCCGTCCCCGTGACCATCTATCAACTACTAATTTGTACTTCTTTAACCCTTCATCCCTTTCTCCCAGCTCCCCAACTCCCTTCCCCTCTGGCCATCACCAGATTATCCTCTATATTTGTGAGCCCGTTTTTGATTAGTTTGTTCTTTTTGTTCCGTAGATTCCACATACAAGTGAAATCATATGGTATTTCTCTTTCTTTGACTTATTTCACTTAACATAATAACCTCTAGGTCCATCCGTGTTGTTGCGAATAGTAAGATTTCATTTGTTCTTAAGGCTGAATAATATCTGTTGTATGTATGAACCATAACTTCTTTATCTAATCATCTGATGATGGGCATTTAGGTTTCTTCAATATCTTGGCTATTGTAAATAATGCTGCCATGAACATAGGGATGCATAGATCTCCACACTTTTCTTTTTAGGTTGACTTTATTCCCACTAATAACATAATGTCCTACAGGGCCCATAGAAGAATCCTAGTCAGCCATCTTTCAACTATATTCTGGTATGTAAAAAAAAATCATTTACCAGTAGAAAAATTTTAGAACTTCAGAAAAAAAGAAAGAAAACAGAGAGGATTTGGAAATTCAAATACAGTACCCAATGTTCAAAATCTTGAACAAACAGCAGATTTTTATAGGAAAGCAAATATAAAAGATTAGCCATTCTTGTTAAAATCTATTAGAGTAGAGAAAGAATTGGGAAACATGAGAAAAAAGGAGGAAAACAGGAGCAAAAGGAGCAGTTGAGATTTGTGGAATCAGTTGGAAGAGTAGCCCTAACTAGAATCAACAGTAGACATGGAGAATGACATTCGGTACGTTAGTCCACCCAGTCAGTAAATTAGTCAGCTGACATGCAGGGATCATGCAAAATCAAACCTCCAATCTAGAGTTGCATAGGCCAGCCATGGTAAGCTATACTAGCATTAAATATTGACTTTTTTCGAAAGATCAGAATATACGTGTCTACCTTCAGTGTACATGTTTGAAAACCAGTGACCACATGTGTGCATCTTGAAAAGACATGCCTTTAAGGTGTTCATGTATATGTGTGAGAAAGGGGACAAGTCAGTACAGGGGACAGAGGGAGAGAGGAAGAGAAAGATGCGGGGAGAGAGAATAGATAGTTTTAACCAATCTTTTAGACAATTTCATCACACATGACAATGGGGGAGCGAACATAAACCTAAGTTATTACTTATATTGTTAAGAAGTTACTATTTGCTTTTAATTGTTCATATGGCCAAATGTAATTGTGTCAAATCACAAGGATTTAAAAATCAAAGGATTTAAAATGAAACATCCCTGAATTTATTTTCCAGGAAAAATGCTCAATAATTTTTAACGAAATAAAGACTGCTAAAAGTAAAACAGTTGTTTATCAAGAAAAAATAAGTAAGTTGAATGAGAACCTAGATGAAAAAGAAAAGGAAAAGAAACATTTTGAACAGATACTTAACAATTTAAAGTAAGTACTTAAATAGTATCAAAATACTAAATGTTTAATATATTATTTATAAAAGAGATAAAATCAAATTTCTATATTTAAAATTTATTCTTAAAATGATCTATATTTTCTATCATAGTTTGATGTGAAACATACATTGTGATATTGGATAATTCTGATTTAAAAAAATCATAAACTGCTTTCATTTTTTATTGCTCCCCTGGGTTCATTTTTATTTGAATAACTGAGAATTCTTCTCTTTTTCCAAGTATAAGAACTTTTATTTCTTATGAAATTAATAATCCTTCTCACTAATTTCAGTATTTCTCACTTATGTGACATGGTTAATAATATATAGTTTGTTACCTAAACATTTTTGATAAGTTTTGAGGTAAGAGTTTAGAAATAAGTATTCTACAAAATCTCATGTAGTTCATTCACATTTATTGTTTACAAAAGTCTTTTAGCCAGTCCCCTTATTAGTCAGGACCATCCCTAACAAGGGTTAGTGAGGCCTTTCATTTGGAGAATGATCATGCTCTAAGACCCTGAGCATATCCATAGACCCTCACTTAGAACTTAAGCACTCTTTACTCATCTTGGTTCTCATTTCCTATTCTGTGGTACACTGAGAACAGGACTTGGAGGGCTATTGAAGGAATATGCATTGGTCACATTTAGGAATTATACTTTAATTTAAATATAGAAAGTTAATACAACATTAGCAAAATCATAGTGCTTAAGGGATAAAGTGTCAGAGAAACAGTTATGCATAGTCTAATACCATATACCTTGCTAGAGTCAAGTCAATGGACTCAGCAAGGATTTGTTTAGCTATCACCAAAGGGTAAAAACTTATTTTCAAAATGATCATACAGTTTTGTCTGAAAAAGACTAAATCATATTCAGCATATCATGCAAGGAAACAAGGAAACGTTATATCCTTTGAAAGATATTTATCTACATTGTTTAATATCTATAAGAATATTTTGGGGCACAAAAAGGATAAGCCTAAAATTACATAATTCACATTTAACTATAAACATCTAATTTGGGAGCTGAAGAATTTTTTATCATTTCAATCCTAACAGTTTCTTCTATCCCTTGGCTAGATTATATTGCCTTTGAGACAAAAGCGGTCACCATGTCCTAGTGAATCAGTGTTCTCCCTAAACTTAGCAAAACTCTGCCTTTTCCCCAGGAAAAGAAGAAAAAGAATAGCTGACACTGTGGTGTTATTTACAAATCTATTAATTAACAGGGATGATATTGGATAATGTCAAATAATATTTAAAGCTACCATCGATTATCTGCCTAATGTGTCAGGCACTTTGCAGGCAATAAATATACCTTATCTCATCCAGTTCTCACAAAAAATTCTTAAATTATGTGCTAACATTCCCATATGAATGCTGAGGAAGCAGAAACTCAAAAAAATTAAATGATCGTCTTAAGAATGCACAACTAATTAGTGGTAGAGCTAGTTCCAGGTTAAGTCCGCCCTGTTCCATATTGTGTGCTCTTTCAACTGTACATACTGACTCCCTAAACTAGGATTGGAAAAGAATATTATTGCACATAACCATGCACAGTACATGTGTAGAGCTGTACTGCATAATGGTGTTTCAGTCAATGACTGACCCCATATACAACAGTGATCCCATAAGGTTATAATGGAGCCGAAACTTTCCCATCTCCTACTGACATCGTATCCATCCTAATGTCATAGCACAACACATTATTTGTGTGTTCGTGATGATGCTGGTGTAAACAAACCTACTGCGCTGCCAGGCCTATAAAAGTATGGCACATACGGTTATGTACAGTACATAATATTTGATAATGATAACAAATGACTGTTGCTGGTTTACGTAATTACTATAATATAGTTTCTATTGTTATTTTAGGGTATACTCTTTCTACTTAGAAAAAAGTTTGCTATACAATAGTATGCTGTGTTACGTCACCATCAGCTTCACACATCTCGTGTTTGCTTCATCTCTTGATCACATCATTTTTCTCTTATGCTCTATTTAATCTTGTATTGTCTACTATAGTAACATACTGTACGGGCTTGTAGCCTAAGAGCAGTAGGCTGCACCATATAGCATAGGTGTGTAGTAAGCTATCCCATCCAGGTTCATGTAAGTGCACTCTGAAGTTTGCACAGTCACAAAATCACCTAATAATGTATTTCTCAGAACACATCCTTGTTGTTAAGTGGCACATGACTATTAGGAATAATCTACTGGTACTTTCAATAGGTGACCGTATCAAGTTAATCATTATTTGTTAAGAACCCATAGTGTGCCTAGTGCCAGGCACCAAGAAGGACAAAGAAATGCAAGTGGGAAAGTGTACCTTCAAGTGTCTGAAGATATTTTTAGGGAGACAAACCTTGCATATGTAAAACAATTAAAATGTGGTGGCAAAAATAATAGCAATCAAAGCTACTCTTGGCTCTCACTTAATTTTCTTAAATAGGATGTGAATGGATCCAAACCAAGACCCATAGGACATGAGAGTTTGTTCTTTATATGATTATGATAAAAGAAACATAATTTGTATGCATACATACACATAAAAACATTTATAACGTATATATAAAATTAATAAAATGCTGTATTAAATACAATCTAATATCAAGATGCTTAATATAGAGAATAAAGTATATGTGGTCAAGATATAATGATGTTTGCTGAGAACTAAGAATTTATTGATTTTTGTCATTCCAGCTCCTCCCCATATGATTTTCACTGATTGCCTGTGCTCCACTATGGCAGTATTAAGGAATACTTATATAGGGTGTCATATAAGAATTTTGGATGATGTTTATATGAATGATAAAGTGGAAAAATGGGCAAAACAGATTAAATGGAAGGACCTTATTTTATTTAGAAGGAGGAGATCATATCTAAAAAATGTGAATAAAGAGTCATGGTTTCAAATTTACTGAACAATCTAGTGGAGAGAGAAAAAAAGAGTAGTGTTGAGCTGCTGCTGAATCAAACAGAGCAAGACACAACTGGACTTGAATTCTGGTTACGTCACTCATGAATCGGCTTACACAAACTATGCTGAAGTTTAGATTCCTCATCTGTAAATTGCTATAATTATTATTTCATAGGGTTTTGGTTGTATTAAATGAGATATTATATTTAAAGCACTTTAACATTTTAGCCTTCAGAAATTTTAGTCCTGCCTTTATAGCTAACTGTGCAAATGAATCAGAGATGAAAATGAATGCGGATAACATAAGACTGTACTGAGATTTTGCAGCTCTGCTTATTCTGGATTCTGGATAGCTGATTAACTACGGGAATTATTTATAAAGAATACTTATTTTGGCAGTATTGTTTTAACCACTTTTTAATGCTTATTCTACTAGTATTGTTTTCTACATTACTAATTATTTCAACATAAAAATTATTTTATCTGTGTCAAGATATACTTAAGACAAAATACACACACATGCACACACATACACACAGACTTTCACACACCAGCTTAAACAATAGGAGAATGTGTCATCTTATGTAACAGGAGGCCAATGAGTAAGGTAAGCTGCAGGGTTGGTTGATTCAGCAGCTCAACAGTGGGTATTCATTTTTTCTCTCTCTACTATTGCTATTGTCAGCATATTTGAAAACATGACTACCTTTAGTGGACGTCAGCCTGTTCTACATGGAATTAGGTCTCCGCCTTTCATCTTATTGGGCTATCTTAGTATATATACTCACTCCTGGATAATTAGCCACATGCTGGTTGACTTAATCTAATCAGAATGTATCCTTGGAGTTACATGCTGCATGGAGGAAGGGTTCTTTGGGGACGACAACAAAAGAGAGGCATGCTGGGTTGGCAACCAATGAATCCACTAAATTTCTCCAGAGATGTTCTACCTGAGTCATTTAGATGGAGATCTATGGAGCTAGGCCTATGGAAGGAAACTAGGGAATTTTTCCAAAGTCCTTTGGGTTCTACGATTTTTCAATATTAGTTCTTTTAAAATGTTTCATAAGTTTATTTTAGAAAATAAAATGTAAATTAGTGGTAATTGCAATTTTTTCTTCACAGGGAACAATTTTTAACTGTCAGATTTAAAAAGGAAAACGCACAAGCTGTGCATGATCATCTCATAAGTGAGCAAAAAGCCTGTAGAGAGAGAATATCTGAGGAAGAGCAGAGATTTACAACTCTTGTTGCCATGAGGCAAAAAACTCTGAAAGATATTAAAGTGAGTATTATATCTTTGACTATTTTAGAAGGAAAAAAATGTAGTGATAGTCAAAATAGCAGCTAGTTTGAGGCATTCATGTTTTTATCTTAAAGTAGCAAAGATTTTAGATTTTAAAAATAAATCCGTTAGCTTCATAAACAGCTTTTCGTTTTTTTCTTCTAAGTAATTATAATATATTCATAGAGCATATTATACTTTTCAATGCCTTTTACGTGCACTCTCATTTTATCATTGTATTTTATTTTGAAGGCTACTGATATTAAAGTGTAGGTTATATTTATTCCAGAGCCAGTTTATATTTCTAATGGGAAATATGAGAATTGTTACATTTTGTTTCTGGATAAATGTACTTCGAATGTTTACAAACTATTTTTTTGAAAAATGAGAATATTTCATGCTCTTTTCCTTTAGAAAAATTTTGCATAGGTTTTGGTAGCACTGTAAACTTACTAGTTGCAAACAAGGAAATTATATGTTAAAATGTATTATTTTAGATCTGAATATTTATTAAGTTTTATAAAGCTATACATATTAAATTTTTATATAAAATATGACTAAGTGATACTGAAATGATTCTTATGCTATTTTACATTTTGTAATTTTGTAACATTAATTGCAATAATAAATACCATGGCTTTTTCAATATATTTATAAATATTACTATTTTTGAGAGACACAATAAGAAATACTTCTAAAAATAAAGAATTCTACCGGATTTTATTAAAACTACTTTCTGCAAAACTTTTAAAAATATATGTAATATCATACTTTCATCAGCTATTTTTGATCCTGATACTTATATATTAAATTGTAAATATATAACTAATATATTCAATTACTTTTTTCCTTTTTATGTTTTCAAAGACATTGCTAATACATTTTTTAAAAAAGATTATTTGGAACAAATACACACTGAATAAACAAGTACAGGAGTGAATGAACATACCATCTTTAATGCTAGCTCTGATAACTGCCTACAAGAAAATTATTAATAAAATTGATAATGATATTAAGTGACATTCTTTCATTTAAAATACAGCCATTATATGGAAAAGGGTTTGGTTTTGTTTTTAGGCCTAAAAATATGAAAATAATTGGTGCCATCTAGTGGCAATAAATGAGGCCTCCTCTTGGAAGAGTTTCTGGAACTTTGATAGCTGAATCTCAGATATGTGATATATGAATAGCTGGGGAAGCTTAGACTCGAATGAATCCCTCAAAACAAGAAGGCTTAAGTTATTTACTGACTTAAGCATCATTCTCCACCTCATATTTTATCACAGCAGTAGAATTAGTTGTTTGAATTCAACCACATTTTCCAATCGTACTGGTGCTGAGAACACAGTGGGATCTCAATAATCATTTATTGACTAACATTTCAGCACTTTAATGGAACAATAATAATTAGTGAAATGGCAAAATATGGTCAGCAGGAGAGAGACAAAGAAAAACGCCTGTATAACTAGCCTCTCAGTAATTAAGATTTGTATTTCTTTTATACAAAAGCCTATCTCTGCTTCCCATTCTGAAATGTACCTACCCACATTCACTTGGGTGCATCATGTGATCTCATGTTTTTTTTTTTTCTAAGCACCATTCTCTGTCTGAATTTGTTTTGTTCATTTATTTTTACTTTTTTGTAGTCTGCCTACATTCTTCTACAGTAATGTATTCTCTGTCACTCCTCTGATAGGATAGATTTTCTGTCACTTTCTCTGTATCCTAAAAGCTTAGCACTATGCCTGGCACAAGGGAGCTCACAATAAATACATGTTGAATGACTGAATGAATAAATGGATGAGCATATTCTTATTTGGTAATTTTTCTGTTGGCTTGCATGATAAAGGCTAAAAGCAGGAGCATTTTAGAGATACTTTCCATACTGCACTAGCTTGCTACTTTAGCCAATACTCATGCTATGTGCAGAAGCTGACTCATTCGCATTTGCTCGCACATGCTCTCTCTCATTTTCTCTTTCTCCTTGATAATATATGAGAAACTTATCATTTTGTCTGTTCCCTCTATGTGAAAATGGTTAAATTGTCTATTGCTTTGTAGCAATTAAGGATTCTGCTAAATATCTCAATAATGCTTCTCAAATAACCTTGAATTTATATGAAATTGTCTCTTATCAGTGCTTGGATAGCTCTTTGTTATGCATTCACCTTATGTGATAAGAAACACAGAGTTTGAACATGCAGAGTTTAGAGATTGATATATCTCATCATTAGTAACACTGTTTATTATTAGAATCAGTTATTGGTGTTGAAGAGTGGAAAGACAGTCCACTCTTCATAGAAAACCTATTCTAATCCCTGTTTAGAAATTGGACAATAAGAATTTGTAAATATATGTGTAATGTAAAGCATTGCCAGAAAGATACAAGTCTTATTAGGCATTATTATATATGTGGTGTTACTCTTCTGGGGTTTCTCCCCTCTGGGTAAAACAACTAATCACAATTATGGATCATCTAAAGGAATTGTTTAATAAAGGACTTTATAAAAGCTACATGGAATTATATCAGGACTGAGAAAACACACTCTAGAATTAGAATTATAAACAGCTAATAAAATAGTTTAAGAAAAAATATACACACACTTCAGATAACATAATGCGATTCTGAAGTTAAATTTAGTTTTTTTCAGTGGACAATTCATGTCAGATATCTTTAAATGATAGACTTTTTTTTTAATGCCATGGAGTTTTTATTAACTGCCTATAATTTAGAAATGTTTAAGATTAAAATTTCAGTATAGCACCTAAACATATTAAGCAAATACTAACAGGCATAAAAGGAGAAATAGACAACAACACAATAATAGTAGGTGAGTTCAGTACCTCATTTGCAACAATGGGTAAGTCATCTAGACAGGAAATCAATAAAGAAACCCTGGACTGGAGCTACCCTTTAGACAAAAACAGACATACATAGAACATTTCATCCAGTAGCAGCAGCAGAAGACACATTCTTCTTAAGTGTATATGGAACATTCTCCAGGATAGATCATATATTAAGTCACAGAACAAGTCTTAACAAATTTAAGAAGATTGAAATTATACCAAGAATCTTCCAACCGCAGTTGTATGAAACTATAAATTAATTGCAGGGGAAAACTAGAAAATTCGCAAATATGTGGAATTTAAACAACACACTCCCAACCAACCAATGTACAGTGCGCAGAGCCCCAGCCCTAGCAGTCACCAAGCTGAATATAAAAATGCTGAGAGATAATAATGTAATAACTTGTATATCCGGATTCTGTCTTCAGATATTCTCTAACACTTTTCTTCAAAGCTTTCACAGGCTCCCACGGCTCCAACTATCAATACAGTGGCTGACTCACCAATCTTCTACTCCAATTTTACTACTTCTCCCAAATTTGTCTCCACATGATGGATTATTAGGTACATGCTTCCATTTACATAGTCTCTATCATGTCCAAAACGGATAATCTTCTCAACAAATCCAGTCACCGGAAATTATTTTTATTACAAATGCTACCGTAATTTTTCCAGTCAACTAGTAGCATACCACCTCCTACATGTTCTGTTCTTTTATTTGACACCAGTCTCTATTAAGTCTATAATCTTCATACCTTCTCATCACGTCTCTTTGATTACAAAAGCACTTTTTTGTAACATATCTGCAGCTTATGCTTTCATTTCACTTCAGTTCATCCTACATAATGCCATCTAATGGATTTTTCTACAGCCTGTCTCTGAACACGTCGCACTTCTTAAAAATTCTTCATGTCTCCCACTGCTTTACAAATTAAGTATAAACTTAATTCATAAATTTAATAAGTTGCAGTGATATTCGATAACCCCACGCAAATTAAATAAAGACCATTTAACATAAATTTATTTGTTTCCATTGCTTTATTGAAGTATAATTGATAAATAAAATTGGATATATTTAAAATGTACTATATGATTTCATATACGTATACATTGTGAAATGATTACTACAATAGGTTAATACATCTATCGTCTCACACAATTATCTTTGTGTGTGTGTGTGTGTGTGTGTATGGTAAGAATGCTTAAGATCTACTCTTTTAGCAAATTTAAAATATATAATACGGCATTATTAACTATAGTCACCATGTAATACATTAGATCCCCAGAAATGATTCAACTTATAACTGAAGACTTTACTCTTTGACCAACATCTCCCTATTTTACCCACCCCACAGCCCCTTGATGACCTTTATTGTACTCTTTGTTTCTGTGAGTTTGATTTTTTTAAAAAGATTCCACAAATAAATGACATCATTCAGTATTTGTCTGTCTATGTCTGGCTTATTTCACTTAGTATAATGTCCTCTAGGTTTATCTATCTTGTTGCAAATGGCAGGATTTCCTTCTTTCTCATGGCTGAATAGTAGTCATTCATATATACATCTGTATTTTTTCTTTATTCATTTATCCATTGACAGACACTTAGATTGTTTCCATATTTTGGCTATTGTGAATAATGCTGCAATAAACATGAGAATATCGATATCTCCTTGAGATACTGATTTTATTTCATTCAGATATATACCAAGAAGTGGGATTGTTGGATCATATAATATTTTTATTTTTAAATTTTTGAGTAATCTTCATACTGTTTTCCACATTGGCTGTACCTGTTTACATTTCAGCAGTGTACAAGAGTTCCCTTTTCTCTACCTCCTTGCCAACACTCGTTATGTCTTGTCTTTTTGATAAAATCCATTATAACAAATGTGAGATGATATCTCATTGTGGTTTTGATTTACATTTCCTTAATGATTAGTCATATTGAGCACCTTTTCATTTATCTGTTGGGCATTCGTATGTCTTTGGAAAAATATCCATTCAAGTCCTTTGCCCATTTTCAACTGGATTATTTCTTTTGTTTTTTAACTATGAATTGTATGAGTTACTCATATATTTTGGATATTAATACCTAATCAGATATATGGTTCGAAAATATTTTCTTCTATTTGGTAGGTTGTCTTTAAATTTAT